AGGGCTCAGAATACTGCCAATAGCGGCAGATAGCTGTGGCCCCAGCACCTAGGTGCAGCTACAATTGTGGCTGCTAGGACAGGTGCGCCGCAATCGCCTTCCTGGCACAGACGTGCCCGCCGAAGGCGTTCTACAGCCCGCAGGGCATTTCACCGCGGCCTTCCGCTTACCGGTCTGCAACTCCGAGCTCTTTTGGGCCACCACGCGACTACCGAAGTTTTCGCATCTGCTCTAAGAGCCCGCATGGGACGTGGGCATAAGCGAACTGACGGAAGGCCATGGCATCAGTCGAGCCACCAAGGACAGCCGGACAGCAGAAGCGGCGGTGGACATGCGGCAGAGGGCGGATCTTCGCGATCCTGGTCCTTTTGGTCTGGAGCCTGGAAGTCCTCGCCCCGTCAAGGCCAGAAGCCGGAGAAGCCTGCCTTTCCGGCCTACGATGTAGGCTGGAAGAATGCCGCAGAACTGATGGAGGTGAGCTCCTCTTCAGGCCGTGGAGGAGCAAACCCTGCCAATGTTGGTGGCATCGTACAGGACGTGCAGGCCGCCATCAACCATGCGCGGAAGATCGAGCAGCGTCTGCACAAACTGCAGAAGGAGTCCCTCCAGAAAGGGAATGCATGGGATGCTTGGGTTCGGGAGATGAGGCTGACCTACGCGAAGGAGCTCGAGCGCCACCGAGGAGAGCAGAAACGACTGGCGGCGGACATCAGGGAGCTCGAGGATTTGACCCATGCCGCGTACGTCAGTGTCCAGCAGGCGGCACTTCACCAACGTGCCGCGGAGAAAGCCGAACCCCCGCCCCTAGAGTGGGAAGAGGCGATGGAGATCGACGACGACCTTACAGAGGACCAGACCAGAGCAGAGCTCAGGAGAATGATCCAGGCAGCAGAAGTCACGCCGAAGCGTGGGACAGGAGCCCCACCACATTCCCCGCCACGGAGCTCGGCCTGGCCGGGGACAGAAGAGGCACCCATGACTGCTGTCACCGATGTGTACCCTACGCCTCCTGGTCTCGCCGACACGGTTGCCCGGGCAAATGCTGTCAATGCGCTGGACCCCCGCACTCCGGTTGCGCCCTCCTCACATGGACAAAGCGCCTTGGCTGCCAAGCTCTCGGACAAGCGCAGAGCGTGCAGGCAAGCAATGGCACCATTTGGGCTGGGCCGGACTGGAACGACGCCAGCGCCGGATCCTGGGCAAGAGCCTCCTGGTGCCATGCCTCCGGAGATTCGCACGGGCCTTATCCACGACGACCCCGACGAGCTGGCTGCTTCTGGGCCCTTGAAAGACCGTTCCCCAGGCCTTGGCAAGCTAGAGTGAAAACAAGGCATAGGCGAGAGGCAGCGACACAATGGCCTCCTTCTCCTTGGTCTGGCAGGCTGGAGGGATGTGAGTGGATGGGGACTTCGATGGGGAAGTCCTCCTCCCCCGGCCCCCTCGGTCAATGCCGATCATGTGAGCAGGTGGCCAGTGCTCTCGTCTGCTTCTCGCGGTTTCACCCTGTTGAAGCCTTTCCTTTGTACAGTGTCTTCTATGCCGGCTCTTTCCCGCTCCCAGGTCGTCCTTCGGGTGCCAGGCCTTGCTCAAGTGCCTCAGCTTCTTGCTTTCCTTGGGGCGCCGAGTGGGCAATATCATGGTCTCCGGACTCTTTGCTGCATGCGTTGAGCTTTGAACGCTCCGCACAGTTCTGTCAAGCCAGTGTAATGCGGGGCCTAAGAGGGAAATCGGTGGCTCTGGGTTCCCCTCCGTATGTCGCTGCGCAGGTCTATGATCTTCCTTACATGCTTGCTGGGGCGGAGTGGGCTGCCGGGGTTTGGCAGTCCTCTTTCCGTTCCGGGCAGGCTGTCTCCTCGCGGACGGGTGCCCGCCTTTGTTTTGGGGCTGGGGCATCAGTCCCTTCGCCTGGACTTTCACTATGCATCTCTGTCTGTCCTCGCCTTCTTCAACCTCGCAGTCCGTCTTCCTCGGCCGAAGTGCACTGCTTCTTTGGCCCCCGCCATGCCTGCATGAGGTCCTGGCCTGTTCTGTGCTCTGGTGCAGTTTGCACCACTTGCCCACTT